CTGCTTTTCCTTTTGTATTTCGCATCGGCAACACAGTACAAGCAGAGTTTGTCCACATCAAGTCCCATTCATTGTAAGTTAGACAAATTATAGCCGCATTAAATAAGGTGGCAATGGGAAACAAGTCACTAAGCACAACCATGTAATGATCGACACCACAAGCACTATTCGTTTCATGCCTTATGCGGGTAACTTCTTTGCTCACATCCCTAAACCCCACTTTTTCATACACTTTAGGGAACGAAAGTAACTCATCAACCACTTGCCTTCTTATATCCATCCATTGATTTTGATCATTCAAAACACAATCGGCTATAACACGGAAACCACAATTGCCGTCGCCAACAACGTCCAAATAGCCTTCGATATATGGCAAAATAAACTGAGGAATCTTATGACAATTCTCCCAAAGAAGAACTGCTTCTCGACCACCACCTAAAAATTACAAAAGAGAAGTTTATGTATACCCAAAAAACATCTACACTTAAAGTTTAAAGTAAAATATAATAGAAGTTGTATACCTTGAGTGTTTTGGAAATTCGTTGTCCCTCGACCACGCCCATATGAGGAACCACGCCCACGTGAGGAACTACGCCCACGTGAAGCACTACGACCACGAGAGAAACTATGTGATGAACTCTTAACCCCTTGAGGGATGTCGAGACAACTTATCTCCCACGAAGACAAGTTACGACTCGTAGAGGCTCTACTCGCAGGTCGACCTCTACGTGATTCATTTACATCCGGTTCTCTATATTCTCCCTGATCCGGGTAGACATGAGGATCAAGCAAAGCATTTACCCTTCGAATATATTCGTCATCTTTGGACCTAACAACAGCAACAAGACTATCAAAATGTTGCAAATCTATCGACCCTTCTTCGTGACGAACTTTGACTTCTGAATTGATTCGTAGAGTTGTCCAAAACTGATGTAGGTGATGCAGTTCAAAGAATGTATTGTTCTGGAGTGCTTGGTAAATCTCACAAGGGCATGGCATA